GTGTTTTATATTACAAATACTATTATAAACACAAACTTACGTCTTAAAGAAACATTATTTTAATAACGAAACTGCTAAATTCTTTCCAACAGTATAGCTGTGTAGTGTATTTTGTCCGAGTGGGTTTGCCGTACTTTGACGTCATCGGCAGTCGAAGGACCCCGAGCCGATCTTGCACCCGAGCAGATACTGTACCGACACCGGTCTGGAAGGCGCACTGGTGTGCGCGATCTTTGAGCCGCGTCAGCAGCTGGTCATGCTTAGAAGCGGGAACTGCTCGCGGCCCAGCGAGGTGGTTCTTGGTGCCAAACAGCGAGGCCAAGCCCGGCTCCAGTGGAGGAACGGGTGGCTAGCCTTGGTCGGAGAAGCCCTCGACCTTGGTAATGGGCGCATATGTGGAAATTGGTGCCTTGAGCCTAGCAGGTTCGGAGAAGGCGGCGGACCAGCAGCTCATGGCAGTGGGGAAGCGCGGCCAGATGGGGTCTGGACAGCGCGCCTGTGTTGCCCCAAAAATTTCCGCCAAATCATCTGCTTCAGGCGGAGCCGGTTCTGGCACGGCTAGCCCCTTGCGGACCACAACCGCGGAGATGATGGCAGGCAGCTCCTGGAGCAGTGCTCTAACTGCTGGCAGGGAGGAGCAAGAAGTCACTGGAGCAGAAGGACCCGCTGAGCGAGGCTCGTCGACCTCCCTGTTGTCCAGGAGGGAAGAAGGGCTATGGTAGCCAGCCTCGTCGTACTCCTCACTGTCGATGACATCGTCCAGTCGGTTGAAGCCAGCCGGCTCCTGGCCGACGTTGAAGAACTGTAAGGCCTTGTCCAGCGAGTACGTGTCAGCCACCGGAAATTCCTCGTTGGCGGCGGGGGTGAAGTACTCGACCCGGCGGACCTTTTCAGCCACGGGCAGAGTGGCACAAAACGGGCAGGAGGCCTGGGGGGTTTAGGCCAGGCCAGCGTGATGAGCCCCGAGACAGACCTCACACTTAGCGTGCAGGTCGCCGCTGGAGATGGAGCCTGTCTGGCAGGCCAGGCAGGTCCTGGTGTCACTGGACATGGTAGGTGAGTAGAATGCTTCTTGGATAATTGCTCTTTAAAGGAAGCTCTTAAGCTTGGCTTGAAGAGATAACGGAGGCGAACAGTGGAGTCGCTCCACTTAAATACCCACAGGGGTGCCCACCATTGGTGGGCGTACATTTAAGCTCTTCATGATTGGCTGATGCTGACATCATCCTTCCAACAGCAGCTAGCTTAAGGGCTAAGACTAGACGAAATAAAACCTGCATTTCCTGCTACTGGTGGTCGAAGACAGGTGGCAGCAGTGTTCAGCAGGCCTTGCCTCTGTCAGTGCGCCCCAGAGCAGCTGTGGCTACATCATAGCTCGTCCCCACCAGTGTGTGAATGGGTGAATGACTGATTGTGTTGAGAAGCACCTTGGGGGTTGTAGAACCCTAAGAAGGCGCTAAACAAATACAGGTCATTTACCCCAACCCAACACTGGAGAGATGCTCTCATTTCTGCAGATTAGGCCCTGATCTGTTTGTCCATATCTCACTTTTCCTACCATCCCAGGAACAAGGCATCAAGATTCTTGAACTCCTTTGCTTGAGGCAAAGAACTTCTCCTAGCCCAGGGCGATCATCCAGTTCAGAACAATGCTGTAAGACTTGGAGGAGCTTGGTTCTGGAAATTTAAGATGAAGTGATAAAAGTAATTCTGTGATCAACAACTAATGTATTTATCCCTGGAGTAATTTATTTAAAATTTTAAAGCAGAAGTTAAAGATATTCTTGTCTCTGATGTGAAAAGTCCAAGATGTTCTTTGCTATGGCTCATCTGCTGATACTTTACACAGTAAAGAAAGGGTAACGAAAGGGTTGACTTTGGATTGGGGAACAGGTTCTGACTGGGGTTTATGCTTTGGCTCAAAATAACCTTAACCCCGGTCTTCTCTTCTGGGGCTGCTACCCCCACAACCTGGACCCAGATAAGCAGAAAGTATTCATGATGATTAAACTGTTTGTTCCCACCTCTGATTTAAGATATTGCCTGAAACCCATGGTTGGATCCGAAGGTGTAAAGGCAAGATAGGATATTTATTAGTAAGTTGGGTTTGCTCCAGCATCTTGACTACCAGAAGGAGGTGACCAGGAGGCTTCCTGATCAGAAGCCCTTCTCGTGCTAAGGCTGAGCCCATTCAACTTCCTCTTTACTGAATCTCCATGCATTCTCTTCCCTTCTCTGACTGCAGCCCCTCCCCCTCTTGTCCTTATGGATCTAAAGCCATTATCTCCTCGTGTGTTTGAAGAGACCAGACCAGCGCTCTTCCCAAACCCCCAGATAAAAGACTTTAGCCTGGGGTCCTGAATACCAGCAGCCCACGAGAACTGCAGGGTGGCGGAGGATTCAGAGGGGTGTAATTTCAACACTAGACCAGACTCATTCAGGACCAGAGAGGTTAGACAAGCTGTGACCTGGAGCCCTGAGACAACAGCAAACAGAATGGGACACTGTGTGTGTGTGTGTTGTTTGATTGGAGACAAGGAGTTGATTGTGTCAGTATGTGCAATGGCATGCTGTCATTAGCAGACTCCTGACAGAAAAGGACGGTTAGTCACAAAAGGTGTGTGTGTGTGTGTGTGTGTGAGAAAGAGATTTCAGTGTCACCACAGTGATTAGAGAGGATGGTTTCAATAAAAGGCTCTGAGGCTGAAGTGCAGAGTTCAGCGAGACCGCTTCCAGCTTGATTAGAAGATGGAAGATGAAATGAACTGTAATAGGAATCCAACTCCATCATTTCTCTCTTTAAAATGTGCACTCAGCTCCAACTAAACTATATAATGCCAAAATGTGAGGTGTTGTTGTGAAAGGTCCTCATCACCGGTGACCTTCATGGAGCAGAAATAACACGTATTCTGTAATAACTCTGGAGAAGACGTCTGTTGGAACTAAAATAGCTGCTGTTGTTCAGGAATGGATCCGCCTGCTCCAGAGCCTCCAGGGTGCACCCATCTCACCCCCATCCCACCACACACACACACACACGTATTTATGTGTTTGTGTGGACCTCCATTGACATCCATTCATTTTAGTAACTCCACTATGCCTAACCTGACGTAAACTAAAAAATTAATTCACATCATACCTCTAAAACACGTTTTATACACGCATAGCTTTGTGTGGACCAGAAAAATGTCCACACAGTACAGGTTGGTTAAAATGTGTCCACTTAAACCCATAAAGTACACACACACACACACACACACACACACACACACACACACACACACACACTGAAGATGAGTCGGTCTTTATGCTGCTCTGACTTTGGGAATAAAACACAAAGAAAGATGCATTCTTCATAAATTCTGTTGCTCTTGTTAGTTTCTTTTATTTACATTTGCATGTTTTCAAAATCTGTGCAAGCATTCACATAATTTCTGTATCTCTTAAGAAAGTGAAACTATTTTACCAAGTACAAATGGAACTGCTATAAAAGATGACACAAATTTTGGCTCCTTGGAATTAAGTTTTAAAGAAATGAGGAACAAGTCTAATTGTCCATACAGAAGAATCCCCTGTGGTTGTAGAAAAGGAAAATAAAAACAACCTGAAGCAAGCGCAGAGGAAACTGTTGGATCTTACAACTTGTTATAGATTATCGTTTCACTAGATTAATCTTAAAAGTTAGTTTAGTCTGACGAAACAGAACAATTTCCTCTAAACTGGTTGGCGTTGGTGGATTCACGTTTGAGCGGGTTTTAGACCTATACCATCAGAAGCTAACCTTCATTCTCACCACCTGAAAGGATTTTCTCATCAATCCAAACCCTACAGAGGCATTTCATCCCAGGGTGACCTTCCCAGAATGTAATGAGACAAGAATTCATGCTGGATGAAGATTTCAGAGAGCACACAGAGATTAGGCCCCTGGGGCACACAAATGCTAAACAGGCCATACAACCCTCTGTGCTTCAGGCCTTTTGAGTCTTTCACCTTTTAAATGGAAAACAGCTCCAGACAATTATGCATTATGATTAGAAACATCACTTCAAAATTCCATCTATCGATTTAAAGAAACCCGGTTCAATTTGTTCTGAAAGATATTTAATTATTCATCAGCTGGAAAACAATGGCCAGACAAAGTTCAGTTAAAAACACAACACTGGGGAAAAAAAGCTAAACCGGTAAACCCCAAATCATTTCAACTATACAAACACACTGTGGTCAGTTTTTATTTAAACCACAGAGAACTGGAAGTGAAGGAGAAGAATGTCCAAGTGATTCTAACCCCACTACCATGTTTGAATAAAAACAAGCAGATGTTAATAAGTGGAGTAAAGACTGTTGTGGTTGTGACACCATCATCCACCTGCCCTCCCAGAGCGACTGCTGTCCCCTCATGCATTTTTAAAGATATCCAATCAATGTTCACCCCCATCAAAACCAACACTGTATGATATTGCACAAGCCCCAAATTCATAATTCATGGGATGAAAAGGTTTAGAATATGATTTGGGGGCTGGGGGATAGACGCAGAAGATGCGGCGTGACAAGCCAGGGCCAGTGACACCATAAATAATTCAGTTTGATTTGGTTTCTCTTTTACTAGCTGATAAGAGGGCCAGCATCTTTGGACTGGAGGAATCATGTTGGATCCTTAATGATTAGTAATTAATAAGTAAAATATGATGTTTAAATGCTAGTTTAACCAAGAACAAAAGGTCAATTTTACCAAAACTCAGTCCAGCAAAGCCTTAAAATAGGAGAATTTATATTTTACCTGTAAAAGTTTTGAATCTTTTACTTTTCCATCTTGGGACTTGAGACAATAACGCCCATCAGAAACCCAAAGCAACACCGTTACACGCTTAGGCAAACCATTCTGGGACAGTAACAAGTTATTTGTTATTCCAGGGGAATGTTGGCATTAGCATAATAAATATACTTCTGTTAGCTAAAACAATTTTATTAGAGGAACTGGTTTAAAGAAATCATTTTATACATGCACTCAATTCAATTTATTTGACACATCATTTAAAACAGTCATATACAGTCCAAAAAAAGTCAAGTGAATAAAAACAAGTTATTTCTTTCTGAAAGGTTAATGTAACACTTTAAAGCGTGAGCTCTTATTTAAGGTCTCTGATCAGTGCATAAAAGCAGCATGTTTAAACCTCCCCTGCGACTCGGTCGTCTGTCTGAGGAAACGTCTGTTGCCTGAATGATTGGGATGCTTCACCGACCGATTATAAACAACAAAAACCAGTACTCAACATTTCACTTTGAAGCGTGACTCATCGGTTCAGCGTTTCCCAGATTTGTCAGAAAATTCCTCCACAAAGAAGACGTTCTGAAAAGCTGTTGGTGCCAAGTCTAAGCTTTTCTTCACCCTGCCCTTTAAACCGTTTAAGAACTGAACAAAAAGCTACAAGAGAAACTAAATGTTACGGTCCAACCTGAAATGTAATAAAACGCTGCTGGGGCAGTTTGCTCTCTTCTTTCTCATCAATAAACAAATATATACATATTACTGTTAATAAACATTTTTAAAGAGTCACAGTAAAGATGCTAACCCTCAGGTTACTTGCTAAAATAATTTATATTTTCTATTTTTTTGAAGAAAATTAACTCAAAGCATCTTCTCAAGATAACTTGCACTCTGTAGAAAGATCACATAAGGTCAAAGGTCATGCTCAGGTGGTTTCATGGGGTTGTTTACAGCACCAGCTGTGGGTCTTGGAGGTCTAATGTTCCAGGTAGAGCTGATCTAGGATCAGAATTTAGGCAGCAACAAATTATACACAAGCAGTCTTTCATCTACAAGGCAGCTACCACCATCTTTAATCTAGTGAAGGAGGAATAGCCGAATCGGTTCAGGGGAAAAAGAGTCAAGAAAAGGAATCATAGCTAAGAATCTTGCAAACAAAGGTGTTCCAGGTTACAACCAGTGGCTGTAGAAACTTCAACTTGTGACCAGCCAAGGTTTGGGTAGAGTGCTACTCTGTTGTTTGCTGCCCCCTACAGCTGAGAGCAAGGCAGTGCAGGTGTTGCTCAGGATGGGAAAGGGAGAGAGGAGGAGGTGAAGTGAATAGGGGCATCATTGAGAGGTTCTACTCATTACATCCCAGAAGTTCCATTCGAAGGGTGATACGCTCGTGCCACTCCCATGGCAGGATGCGGATATACCTGCTGAAGAGCGCCGGTTCAAAGAGGTTCTTTTTGTGAACGTTGTTGTCGCTGTTCCCAGTGAAAATCTAAACAGGACAGAAATCAGAATAAAGAAAATTGTGTTTTTAATGCAAAGAATGTATAAGTGAAGATGGTAAAATGTGTTAGTTCTGCTCATATGATTGCAATCATGGAAAACGGTCTATTTTCCTTGTAAGGTGGAGTATATGCTCTTGGAAAAAGCTGTTCAAGCAACATTTTAAAGAATAACATCTGACATCCAACCCTCTTTGCTCTGGCTCCCCCCAAAACTCTGATGGTCACAGAAAAATGTTTTCCTGTCACTCCCATTTCTACATGTTGCATGCAGAAGCTCTAACTGGGACCTTGTTAAGATCCTACCATGTAAAACATCAGTTTGGTCCATTCTTCAATAGGTCTTTTGATCGGGACTGTTGGTGCATTTCTTATCAATGTACTTCCTAAACCAGTGATGTGGGTTGGTGGACAAAGTAAGGAAATTATATAAAGAAATACATAAGTAATTATATAAAAAACATAACGACTAATTTAGAAAATGACATGACTAAAGGCAGAAAGAGATAAACAATAAAAAGAAAACAAAGGTCAAGTTGAATGAGTTCTTTCTCGTCTCATCGTAATGCATTGTTGAAGCATGGGTTAGGGTTAGGCACCATAAACACAGCTTCTGTAAACATGAAACTAGCTTCTATAACTACAGTTACTGTAAACATGTAAATACAGTTTCTAATTTATTGATTTTGGCATTTGTTTGGATTGTACAGGGTCTTGGACCGTTGCAAACAACACTCACTAAACAGCACTTGGTAAAAATGTTTGTCCTTATATTCAATAAGGTCATAGTTTACCAAGTGCTTTTAAGTTTCATAAATGTAATGATAAACTGCTAAATGTCTTGCCCAAGGACACAACACCTGCGGCAGACAGAGCAAGACACAAATCAGTGACCCCTCAGTTACAGGAAAGCCACCCTAGCCTTTGATATTGGTTATGTGTTGTTTAACATAAACAACTTGATCATCTGTTGGCCTCTTGGTTTGTTAAGAAGATGAAATACAAGAGGTGCTGTCTAGAATCCTTCTTGTTCACGTATTTAGAAGTTTCTGTAGTATTTTACCCTTACTTGCAGCTTCTCACTGTGTCTCAGATTCAGAGACTTCATTTGTTTGCATGTTGCCCACATCTGGCAGAAAGACTGATTTCCAGATGCATTATAAACAGATACTTACAATCTATTTGAATTTTGTTACAAACTGGCTTCAGATGTCTAGGCGATTACAGACACTCAGTTTAAAAGGTAAAAATGTTCCCAGTAGATTGATTTGGCCACAAAATTTTTAACGTAACCAAAGAAAAAGAGTCAGTTCCCCAGCAGCTTCTAATGGATTCTAGCGATGAACCATAGAAACAACCTTGGTTCCATCTGCTTCACTCCTAAAGGATTCCCCCAGCTGGTTGTAGACAATTAGCTGAAGAACTTGTCCATTTAAACTCAGAAGAACATCGGCTATAATTAGGTATTTAGTGGTTAATGCTCCCTTCTAAAATACAGAGAGGTTTTGAAAGATCAGTACATGAGTGACATTATGGAAGAATGAACGGTTTAGTTTGATTTAAACCATGTTTTATGTAAATAAGACATGCATATTAAATGTTAGTTTATGTACCAGCTGATAAATATTTACTCGTTTTATTTAGACATCACTGAATGCATCGTGTCAGTATTAAACCTTGCTTGGCGTTTGTTTCTGTGGGACTAACCTTGTCCTTTCCTGTGGTCTGGTCCTTCACTGTAGTCCAGAACCTTCCATTGTTACTTTGGGCAACCTTAAAAAACGTAATGAACTGGATGGTGCCAAAGTCTTTTGCCCCCTGAGTGATGATCCCAGTTACCTTCTTAGGAGACAACAAGTCCACCTAAGAAATGCAAAGGAAAGATTTACAGGACGGTGTGTTAGAATACGAGATTAAATGTTAGTCAGGACTGTCCTTCTGTCCCACCTGAAGCCATTCAGATCGGCTGTTGGTGGCAGCTGTCCAAGCATTGGTCTTGCCCTGTTTGTCCAGGCGGGCGAAGTGTGGGTACCAGGTGAAAGCCTCCAGGCCCCAGGTTTGGAAGGTGCTAGAGGCAGTGATCTGGTTGTTTGACACCAATCTGGACTTCATGCCCAACGGCTCTGAACAACCTGAAGTGTTGGAATACACTGTGGAGGTGAGACCAGGAGCAGAAGAGGAGCCAGAGGGGAAAAACAGGAACAGAACAAAAAAAGATAGACAAGAGGAGGGCAGGAAGCAGTCATGGCCAGACAGAGATGAGAAGAAGCAAACAAAAGAAATGACAGCGTGGACGACTGCTAAAGTATGACTAAAAACAGCTAGTGCTATGAATAAATATCAGTAGACATCTTTAATATATTATTTATCATCGCGTGAGAGTTGGCAGCCCTAAACGGTGTTGTGTGCATTATGATAGATGTGCAGGCTGACCTTGCTCTGAACTACAGAAGCCCAGGAGTGGAAAAGATTTCCCCAAAATTTAACCTTCAAAAACAAGTCATTCAAATTATTTAGTTAAATCAATTTATCACCCAGCACTACGATGCAAAAAAGCAGCCTTGGATAGTAACCTTTAAAGAGATAATGTGTAGTTTTTACCATTAATCTCTGGAAGTATCCATCAAAATGTTGCTGAAAATGAATTTAATGATGTTCAGTTGTTGAAAAATATAGGTGGCTTCATAACATAACAATAGAAATCAGGTCTAAAATACACGGGAGCGGGTCCAAGTCTCTGGGCAACGCCATATTAGATGCTATGTTTCCTTTTACAGGAGACCGCGAGGACACAACGCATTAACTGATTTGTAACAAACTGTTACAAATCTTTCCGCATTCATAAAGCTTGATGTTTTACATGTTTACCTCTTCGTTCATTGCCGGTGATGAACGGGAGTCTGATGCGCTTGTCATTTTGCTGGAGGTTGTGCTTCCAGGGCTTTTTGACGCTAACGGCCATCTGTTGGTAAGGTCATACTCGAACACAAAAATACTGCTTACTTGCAATGATTTTGGTATGTACTGCCCCCTATCGCCAGGGAAAACGCACACTGTCACTTTAAAGTTTTAAAATAATTACTCAATATTATTTTAAATATAAGTAAATGAGTCAGCGTGAAACGCATTGTGTCTAAAATATGTTAGATTTCTGTATTCACTGTAATACACAATAATGCATTCACTGCAAAAGCAAACTTAAAAAAATTAAAAATAAAATATTCAACGATGACAAAACCCAGCATAAACCAGGAAGCAACACTGATCTGGTAAACGAGACAAACATCAAGCCAGTGAGTTTAAAATAAGCACGCCGATGTTGGGAGAAAAGGAAACACATCAAGAGGCATTTGCTGCAACGTACAAAAGCCTTACAGGGAACTATAAATAGAACCAACACAACGTGTGCTGTAAACATTTCCTGACCTACTTTTGCATCTGATGTGATGGATTAAACAATAATACAGTTTGAAGAAATTCTTCATGAAATTGACTCATTAAATGTGTTCAGAGTTACTGGAGTATGTTTCCCTCTCAAGTACATACGTTTGAGTGCAAGGAGGACAGGAAATAATTAGGAGGGAATCAGAAACTACATGGAAGAAATATGATTTAGATATCTAAATCATAAAAGGCTGCAGGGGTCTTCTCTGAAAATGTTTTTATCCCATTAGAATTTTAAAATCCGTGTGTGTGTGTGTGTGTGTGTGTGTGTTTACCATCGAGTTCACAGCCCACGAGCTCCATACGCAGAGTGCAAGCTTTGCGACACACTACAGGAATAATGCGGATGTACTGGGCGATGATTGGGGGGTCAAATGTGTTGGTCTTGGTGCTTTCATTGTCCACGTTCGCCATAAATATCTATGAATCAGAATCAGTTTGTTGCCAAGTCAGTAATTACCCTCACGAGGACTTGATTTTGGTGTAAGAGACGATAAACACAAAACAAACGTGACCAAATGTACACGGTGCATACAGAAGAACTGAAAAGTGTGGCAAAGTTTAAGGAAATAATGTTTGCGGTGTAGCAGACTAATGTTGCCTTCATTAGGGAAGAGGAGGAGAAGGCTGCTCAGACACAGTGACACACCCAGATAGAAATTGTTGCTTTAGTGAGTTTTTGTAAGGGATGCTCTGCTCCATCAGCCGCCATAATCCAGCAATCTCTGAGAAAAAACTGTGATTTGCAGATACTGATCAATGCCTTTCAGAGCTGATCATACCAGCCAATCACCTTTGTAGGTCATACATTGCAGCAAAGCATCCCCCTACGCAGTGGCAAATAACAGAAAGAGTTGGAAAACTCTGGTCTCCAGATGACCTCATTTCTGGATTTACTCCAGAGAGCGACTCATCAGGGGTCATCTCCATGCAAGGTAGGTCATAATCTTCACGACTGTTCCCGTCCGTGTTTGTTTGTTTGTAGTAGAGCTGTATAGCAGCACACCTATAATCCCAGCTCGGTACACAGCTGTGCCTAACCCAGATGTTCCATACCTAAACATCCAAATCAGAATACGAATACTGTAGCATCACAAGTCCAGTGTTACCAAAAATACTCAAGAACTACAGGGAGGATTTCGGTGAAACTCTTGGGAAGTAATCAGTATTCATAGATATAAAACTGAGTCGTTTATTTGTTTATTTTTTTTGTAAATCAAGCCTATTGAAGATGAAAGCCTTGGCTGATTGATCTGAGCAAATACAAAAATAGCTACAACTCTGTTAATTTTACAGATGATTAAAATTTAATGAGGAAGTAACAGAGTCATTCCAGGTCACAACGGATTGCTCTTAACATTTTCAAATGGCTAAATAGTTTCTCATTTGACAGCCAGGCCTTATATTTATCATTTAAAATCAGAGAATCCTCACCTGGTCCTTCTGGTCTCCTTCTTTCCTGTACATGGTATAGGTCTTGCCGTCCAGGCTAGAGGCCACCTTAAAGACTTTGATGAACTCTGCTGTGCCGATGCGACTGGCACCCTGGGTGATGATGCCTGTAAGTCGCATCTTTCCCCGCATGTTGATCTGAGAAAACATCACATAATGATTTGTTGTGTTCCAGGAGTAATCACGTAAAACAGGCAAAGCGAGTTCTGCTTTAAAACTCCACGACTGAAGACCACATTATCTGACTGCTCATGTCAGACTGAAGTCTATAAATGTACTCACCTCGATCCATGGGTTCTTGTCATGTGCAGCTGCACTCCAGGCATTAACCAGTCCCTTGTTGTTAAGGCGGGCCAACTCCGGGCCCCAGCGCTGCAGACCCAGCAGAGTGTAGCGCACCGATGAGGCCGTAATCTGGGACTCAGCGATGCCCCCTCCATCCATGCCAAGCAGAGAAATACAACCTATGAGGAGAAAGACACAATGGGAAAATTCAGCTTAAACATTCCTCACTGATGGGTAATTTGATCTTGTTTTAGTCATTCTAAATATTCATTGTCACAAGTCAAACACAGAATTAAAACAGAAGTAGATAAACAATGGAAAGAACAAAGTAGGGAATGAAAAAGTGTCGGTAGAAGTTATGTTTGTATTCTTTAAATGGTCTCTCTCTCTCTCTCTCTCTCTCTCTCTCTCTCTCTGCCACTTCATCTTTACTTCCTTCAGGTTCAATATTTCTACTACAACACACTGACTGTATTAGCGAGAGTTGCTTGGTCACACTTACGCAGCTGGCAGTGTTTGCCTACATAAGGAGAAGGACAATGGCAAAGGAAATCTCCATCAAGGTCCCTACAGGTGCCTCCATTCTCACAAGGCTGAACAGCACAGTCGTTCACATCTGAGGGGAGATAAATCAGTCATTACTCAGGAAACGAATCAACGTTGTTCCTCTTTAGAGAGATTAGTCCCAGTGGTGAGAAGAGTTACAGGCCATGCTTTGTAGAGTTTAAAGCCAAGCCAAAACACTTAGGAGCTGCAGAGGAAGGAAGGCTGGCTAAAAGAAAATAAAAACATGTTTTCGTTAGTGGGATGGGAGCCCTTTAGTCGTTGCAGTATGTGTGTAAGATAGTAGATGTGTGACTAATAAAAACAGAGCATCAGTAAGAATAGTTTTAGTTTAAAAAGCGCTAATCTCCCAAAGATTCTTCCAATCGCCTCTTGATGGCGCCCTACAGACATCAGTTCCTCATACAGTCAGCAGGATGAGCCAGAGGTTAACATCTGTTAGTCACTCATAAAAAAACCTACTAAACTAGATGTAACTTGAGCTACATTGTAACAGAAAAAAATTTATTTGGATTCAGTCGACCCTACCAGAGAAGGCGAGGCAACACACACACACACACACACACACACACACACACACACACACACACACACACACACACACACACACACACACACACACACCTTGCTAGTACCAGGTTGGACCTCTTTTACCTTCAGAACTACCTTAATCCTTCGTGGCATAGATTCAACAAGGTACTGAAACAGTCCTCAGAGACTTTGGTCCATATTGACATGATAGCATCACACAGTTGCTGCAGATTTGTCAACTGAACATTCATGATGCCAATCTCCCTTTCCACCACATCACAAAGGTGCTCTATTGGATTGAGATCTGTGACTATCGGCCATCTGAGTACAGTGAACTCATTGTCATCTTCAAGAAACCAGTCTAAGATGATTCAAGCTTCATGACATGGTGCTTTATCCTGCTCTAGTGTACCCATCTTCTAAGTAGCCATCAGAAGATGGGTACACTGTGGTCATAAAGGGATGGACATGGTTAGCAACAACACTCAGAAAGGCTGTGCCGTTGCAACGATGATCAATTAGTACTAAGGGGCCCAAAGTGTGCCAAGGAAATGCCCCTATACAATTACCAGAGGTGGAAAGAGTGCTAAAATTTCCTACTTAAGTACGAGTACCAATACTTTGATAATTTTTTTACTCAAGTAAAAGTAAAAAGTATCGTAAATAAAATGTACTCAAAGTAAAAGTTACTTAGTTACATTTTTGTCAGCATAAAGATGGTTACATCAGTACAAAACCACAACACCAGTTCACAACACGCTCCTGTGTGCGCGCACACACACGGACACACACAGTTTGATGGAAGGATTTCTGTCAGTGAGAACAGGGCGTGCACATTGATTGGACGAGGTTTTTCTAGGCTTGTATGTTTCAGTTGTGATTAAAATTATTCTTTATTTTGAGAAAAAAAAATTTAATTTTTAGATGCCATCAGTATGTGAGGTATCTCAATGTTCTCAAGAAAAACTCTAACATGAGACTGTGCTCTAACCTGTCACATAACAAGCTAAATGAAAGTCAAACATTTCAGATGGACCGTATGACCGCTGCTAATGTTGGCCTGCCCTACTTTACCTCTACATTACAGTTCCTTTATCCATGTCCATCCTAGAGCTCCTCTCTGACCTTCATGCTTATTTAGAGTAGCTGATTTTTAAAGTTAGCAGAGTTCATCCTTGGTAGTGGGTTCACTCACTCATTTAACCCTTCACCACTGAAATCAGTTTGTTCATTCCCATCCTCCTAAATAATCCTCCAATCATCCAACTGGAATCCTCAGGGGTCCCGTAACGTCCATCCTGACAGAACAGGCCTTGGGAGCCCAGGTGTTACTAGAACTAATGGTGCCCCCTCACCAGCGTGAGCCTCCAAACTGTGAAGGTTGGTCTCCAAACATGAACTTTAAATTTATGCATTTATCTCCTCTTGTAACACTTTAACACGTTTTAAAAGGCTTGTATCATGATATGTTACACCTCCCAGACCAAAGATAAGATAAAACATTATCATAAACACTGCAGAGACGTCATTATGTATGAAATAGAAGTTATTTTACTGAGCCATTACTTAAGCCAAGATATAAGATGCGCGCGCACACACACACACACACACACACACACACACACACACATACACACACACACACACACACACACACACACATACACACACACACACACACACACACACACACACACACACACACACACACACACACACACACACACACACACACACACACACACACACACATCATGACTAATTAAACTACACTGAACTGCTTTTGTAATAATGTAATCTCTTATTCTGGAGTAAAATAAAGAAACAAGCTAAATCATCACATATCTGTGGCATCAAGGAGCATCTTCTGAGTTCAAACACAGGGATGGAGCACAATGTTTACACCTGAACAGTATCAGGATGTTTTAACTCACAGAGGCCTGCAGGTCTTCTGTTTTATGAGCAGAGCGCTGATAATCCGCTTGTTATGAGCGCTAAACTTTATTTTGCCGCTTCCGTGTGGAGCGGTAGGGAAACACAGTTCAAACACGGAACCGAGTCTGGTTACCGAACAGAGTGGAATTGTGATGATGTCACACCGGTGCGCGAAGGTGAAGGTTCCAACCCACAGGAGGAGGGAGAGAGGAGGAGAACAGCGAGTGGATCACAGGGACTGAACTGATGATTTGGAGCAGAAGTGTACCCACACACCCCCACGGTTTAGACGCGGTGCTCATGCAGGTGTCTCTTCCTGTTCCGACACTGCTACACGCAATATTTTTAATTTATTAAGCCTATAGTTTGTTTTTACGCAGCAACGGATATGATTTAAAATGTAGCGAATTGCAATTCTTTTTTAAAAACGTACCCGAGTAAAAGTAAAAGTACAGCTTTTAAAAATGACTTAAAAAGTATAAATATACAAAAAAGCTACTCAATTACAGTAAATTGAGTAAATGTAATTAGTTACTTTCCACCTCTGACAATTACACCACCACCAGCCTGAACTGTACAAGACAGGATGAATCCATGCTTTCATGTTGTTGATGCAAAATTCTGACCCTACCATCTGAATGTCAAAGGACAAATAGAGACTCAGACCAGGCAACAATTTTCCAGTCTTCTATTGTCCAATCTTGGTGGGCCTGTGTGAATCGTAGCCTGTTTCCTGTTCTTAGCTGACAGGAGCTGCACCAGGTGCTGTCTTCTGCTGCTGTAGCTCATCTGCCTCAAGGTTCGACGTGTTGTGCGTTCAGAGATGCTGCAACGGATCATCTTCACCATGTCTCCATGCCTAAATGCACTGAGTTGCCACCATGTGATTGGCTGATTAGTAATTTGTGTTAATGAGCAGTTGGACAGGTGTACCCAGTTTCTACAGCTGAATGAAGATAAGACTGAGATCCTCATCTGTGCCCCAGACAAGCTGGTTCCCAAAGTCAGAGACTCTCTTGGTCAGCTTGCTTCTCACACCAAACCTTCTGTCAGGAATCCTGGTGTGACCTTTGACCCAGCTCTCACCCTGGATTCTCATGTCAGTTCTCTCGTACGCTCTTCCTTCTTCCATCTCAGGAACATTGCTAAGCTGAGTCCCATTCTGTCTCGCTCTGAACTTGAGACAGTTCTCCACACCTTCATCTCCTCACGCTTAGACTACTGCAACTCTCTTTTCACGTGTCTGAGCAGAACGTCCCTGAACCATCTACAGGTGGTTCAGAATGCCTGTGCTTGGCTTCTGACCAAGTCCTCCAAACACACCCACATCACCCCGCTTCTCCTCCAGCTTCACTGGCTGCCAGTCAACTTCAGGGTTCATTTCAAGATCCTGGTTCTGGTCTATAGGGCCTTACATGGGCAAGCACCATCTTACATGGGTGATCTTCTCAGTCCCTACACCCCCAGCAGGTCCCTGAGGTCCAGTGACCAGGGCTGGACTGGGACAAAAATTCAGCCCGGGCATTTTGACTGGAGACCGGCCCATCACCTGTTTTTTTGGAAAAGACATTAAGCCTTACGCTGTTTCTGACACACACCAACGTACACTTTCTTATTGGTAGTATTTATGTATCAATCTAATAAACGTAAACCTACACCATCCTTCCTATCCTGGTATTCTAAAAAGTAGGGTTGGGGGTAAATGATTATTTTTAAAATGATTATTCTGACGATTATTTTATCGAATAGTCGACTATTCTAATGACTATTTAGATGATTAATCTAGCGATTATTTTTCTTTTGCACAATTAATAAAAACCAAAAAATCTCCAACAAATTCCTCCAAAAAATTGATAAATTGTTACTGTAAGAGAATAAACACTACAGGCCTTCAATTTTGTATAAAACTGCTTTTATTGTGTTGCGGTTGTTTATGTTCTGGTGACGTGTAGAACTTGGGAGTGCAGGCTGCTGCCTGAGAGGTGGTTGGAGACGGAGTGTCTCCATGCTGCTTTGATTTGGCTACTTATGTGCATGAGGCAAGTGGTGTTACGACCCTTCCTGGGGAGCAGTGTTGAGTTACTTCAAAACTGTAATGCAGTATTTATTACTTGCTACCCTCATTTTAAAGTAATTAATTACATTACAATATTACTGATTTTAAAACGTAAGGCATTACACTACTTTTGCATTACTTTACTTTACTTTCACCAAAACAATGTCAGTATGAATCTGGTAATGTGACGCTCAGTGAGCTCATGACACAAATGTGGTAGGTGATGTGGTGTCTGAGCTAGGATTGCTGTTAAAAACAGTCAGATATGATAACATTGCTTTAAAATGATTGTTTATTAAATGAAAGCAACAATAATCTGTACTCTCAGCACGCTGCCATCTTATATTAACTGAGCAGGGAGTGAGGTGGTGGGGGCTCCAAGCCTATATTTGCCTTGGTCCCCAAATGCCTATAGGACTGACTTCTGGGGTGATCTGATTCTATCACATGTATAAATATTAAAATGCTTATGTATATTATTGCTTTTCACTGGTAAAAATGTGTATTGGGGATAAATCTACCTACTTTTT